AATTATATTCTTTATAAAAAGTTGAAAATTGAGGACGAACTACACATAAGACCTATATAAATATTAGAGAACACTTAAAATTCAATCATAATTTCGTCTAAGGGTTTTCGTTGGAGATCTGGGACTAAACATTCTTCAGCTGGATAACCCACGGGAAGCAGCAAGCTAAGTTTTTCATTCGATGGTCTTCCCAGTAAGTTGCGTAGAGCTGGACCACAATTTAGAGGTGTCGATGTTAGTGATACTAAACCAGCATACTGTAAAAGAGAAATTTGGTAGTAACGTGGTGCAGTTTAACGGTGCTCCAAAGCCAGTATTCTATTTTTTTAATTTTGAGCTGCTGCAGTGAAAATTCGGTGCTGATAGGTGGTCAGGCGTTGTCAAAAACTCAATGAGCCGTATTCATAAAACAGAAGCATATCCTCGGAAGCATAAGGTAAAAGTATAAGGTGCCATTCAGGTCGGTAGAGTTCAATAAGAAGGAAGTGCACTATATACCGAGCGCAGTGAGCAAACAGTTACTATTCCAGCGCCAGCAATTCAGAAGACATTGCCACCAAAAGGAAAATTAGCAACAGAGAAATACGAAACTGAGGAAACCAAAGGGTTAACTACAAAAGAACTGCAACGTCTAGTGCTATTACAGCAGTACCAAACAAGTATTTTACAACAAGAGTATTATAAAACGATATTAGAAATGATGCAGCGTCAGAAGCCACCTGTAACTTATGATGCTCACGAAAATAAAACTTATTATAACTTATAAATACACTTTAATCAGTAAAACTATTTATTATGATACTCAAGCTTCTTCTTATTTGTTGACCTACTTGGCGGAGAGGAAGTTCGTCATTCTCATGATTTCCTTCATCTTCATCTGGGTCTTGTTCAACTAACTCAAAGTCAGGATTGCCCAAGCTCTTCGCAACATTATGGAGTACAATACAAGCAATAATTATTTTCGGCACATTTTCCAACTTTACGTGGCAAACATATTGTAGGATAGGAAACCGGCCTTTCAGTTGGCCGAAACAGCGTTCAATTATAACTCTTTCTTGTTTTAAAAGCTTATTATAACTTATCTCTGCACCTGGAGTAGGATTTCTAAATGGAGTCATAAGGCATGGCCCAATACCATAACCGTCATCGCCAAGTAGTACAACATTTGCTTTATTTATTAGTTGTGATCTAGTCTGAAGTTCTCCATATTCTGGAATCATGCACTGATCCAGGCCAACTGACATCAACACTTGTGAACATCTCTCTGGCATTACAAGTGGCTTGCACATTTAAAGTAGATTTCCCTTTTCGGTTGATATACTCATCTCCATGGCGATTTGGTTTCAGGATTCCTATATGTGTACAATCAATCACACCAATTGCTGTCGGAAATTTACACATGATTTGCCTTATCTGCTTGGCCTCCATCAGTTCATGGTTGGTAGTTAGAAACTTGATCCATTCATTCGACTGTGCAACTATGCTGTTCGCAACTCCATCCACAGTCCGAAATACCGTTGCTTGGATGACAGCAATTTCCTGACCAATACCTTGTTGATATCCAGGGTCACCGACATAGCGTAGACATATCTTCACTTTATGAATACATGAAAATGCTCCTCGTCGAGTTTCCTCATTCTCAACCAAAAATCTGTCCGCAAGCCATTGTACATTTGCTTCGTCGAACCGATATAATCTTTTGAAGTCACGACCAATTGAAGGTAAACGAGGTTTGTACGTTTTAACATCCCTAACATCCACAATTTCCGCCATCATCGTTTGACCACCTTTCGTTACGAAGTTGAGTCTGCTACTGACCACACTCAGAATTTTTTAAGGATATGCTTCCTATGCGAAGTATAAGGTAAAGATTATGAATATCCTTTTACTTAAGTCACTACTTTGGAGGATATGCTTATACTCAAAAAGCAAAAGCATCTACTTCAAATTATTATAAATACCATTTGGAGGATTTCCTTCAAAATTTGCAAGTACAAGGATATCCTTTTTTATGAATACGGCTCAGTAGCTTGAGCTAGTGTTTAAGGCTTCTCCGTTCCTCCATATATTCGTATGCATACATGCGTAGTTCTCGCATATCTGAATAAGGTGCTTAATGAAGATAATAATCGGTATTAGATTTTCTTCAGAAAAGTTATTGTGTGAAAAATATGTTGAATTCAAAACTGTATTGTCAGACGCATGACACCAGGAAAAAGAAAAACATTATCTAGACCATCCATTTCTCTAAGATCTACTTTTTTCTCATTGCTACTCAAGTTGATATCGGTAGAATAGAATTTCCTTTTCGTTGTTTCTGCGGCAAAATCTATGTGATAATTACGAGGGGGTTGAGTGATGATTTTTCCTTGAAAGGTTGATGTCATGTTTATAAACAAACAATTCGGGGTGGCGCGGCGGTAGTCGGAGTAGCAACGCCACCGCTGTGTCGTCTAAGTCTGACGTTTGGACCTCCACACTTCTCCTCTTATGCTTTCGTCTCGCTATAATTCTCGAGGCCGCGTTAGGTACTGGGGGGCCTTATCCGAAGCTTACAATGTTGGCAATGATTGTTATCAGTTTTCATGGACCTGTAGTAACTTAGTCAATGGCTCTTGCCAACTTAGTTCTGCAATTCAAAGTAATAATAATTTCAGGGTACATTGCACTTACGTGAATTGCAGCTAAGAGAATTCCTGCCGCAATGGATACACTTTGTTCATTATAGTAATGTAACTTCTTTCTTCCGTTTTCTCGGAAGCTGTATGTTTGTTTGAATATAAGTATGAGATAAGGGGCTTCAGTTAAGTACTCTTTTATCCAGTTCGTTTTCAGTGGCTCCAAATCTGTTGTCCAGACTTTTCCTAAAACAAATGATATATTTAGTTTGAGCATTAGTTTATCATACGTGTGGCCTACTGGAAATATTGATTGGCTTATTAAAGATAGTCATTTAATACGATTAAAAGATGGTATAATGGAACTGTCCTTTACTATTGTCAGTTTTATCTATAAAGCTAAAAATTTAATTTTCATTTAAAAATGAATAATCAATAATGAATAAATATTACATGTCGTTTATTTACCCATTCGTTTCTTGTAATTTATTTCTTCTTCATCTTCAATTATCTCTCTGACATTCTGCTTCATTTCTGGCGAACTAACTACAACGTATGTCCAAGGTTGGGTGTGAGCACCACTTGGTGCTGTACCTGGAATTGAAGTACTGCTAAGGATTTGAACTTAAAAACCTGGAAAATGTTAATATCAGCAAGAATCGAACAAATATTTGCAGTTTTCCGTATCGGCACTATCAGATAGGTTACAACAGTTGTGATATCTTGATAGTCTCTGCTTTTGCATAGTAAGCTTTTTGAGTTGCATTCAGATGTTACTAAGCTGACTATCACCTTTTGTGATTAACATTGTGCCAGTACAAAATTTCATACTGATTAGTAATTCATGCAATAGTTCTATTTGTCATTTGTTTGTCTGGGTGGTTGTACTTTCTAGCGCTGTCATCGGTTCGTGAAGGATCCGCCCCTGGCGCTCATGATCGTTGCTATGAGTAATCCCGCGTGAATAGGAAATATAAGCCTGTTGTAGAACCTCCCAAGGGGCATGCTTCTTGTGAGACCTGTCATAAGGCATGCTAATACTGAGTCCTCGGTGACCATGTCAGTCGTAAGACCTCTCTGACCCGATATTGGATGCGAACTTCCCTGAATATCATCTCTCTACCATCATCCGATTATTCGACAAACAGGTATGATAGAAAAGGACAGACGGAGGGTGTGGTTGAGTGGCACACTCCTTCTACCATAACTCATCGACCCTCCGAACAATAGCAAGTTTTCTGGTCTGATGTAAAAGTATGGGCTTAATCATTATTCTACAGGAATTTTCTATATTGAAGATAAGATCAAGAAAAAGGGTAACAGACTTCTAGTTAAACCATTGGGGTTTCCGCAAAATAAAAACGCATACAGGGTGCGTCTTTTTTTAAGTCGGTATGTAAACATGAAATAACTTTGAAAATGAAAAACTGATTTCTATATGTCGGGTATTTTTATTAAATATGGTCACTTACAATTTATTGGGACTAGTTTTTGAACACAAAATCTATCAATTGGCCACCTTTATTAGCCAAAAATATGCCCGTTTTGCTGCGTTTTCCATTACCGTTTCTCTGGTGGTATAACGGCGATTGCGGTACGAATGTTTGCCTTGAGTTATTCAGTGGTCTGGGGCTTGTTGGCGTACACTTGACTTTTCAAATAACTTCACAAGAAGAAGTGCGGTGGGGTGAAATGCGGCAGTTCTGCATATTAACGCCGCCAGAGAGCGTGAAATGTGCCTCGTCGGTCATCACAATTTGCTTCCAAAAATCAGGTCCTGTATCAACCATGCGAGCGACTGTTTGGGCGTATTCCAAGCGACGCAATATTTTTTGTGTTAACTGCACCTTATAAGGAAACAAATGCAAATCATCCTTCAAAATGCGCCGCAACGTGGTTCCATTGATGCCAAAATGCTGAGCGCGGTGACGATACGACACTTTTGGGTTCTGGGCAACGCTGCCTCTGCCCCCTTCAACAAATTCATTGGAATGTCTTGGTCGTTGATGAACGGTATGTTGACGATCTCCTCCCACTGCCTCAACGATGTGCACGTTGCGTTAACTCAACTGAACGACGATTTTCAATGTACATTGTGACTATTTCGGCGCGTTGTTTCGGTGTAAAGCGATTCATGACTAAAATTGCAGTAAATTGACGTTTCAGAAACACGTATAATCAAATCACTCGGTTGGTAAATATCAAAGCCATTGGATGCTTCAATACGGACATAAAAGATGGCGCACCCGGTAGATCGATGTAATTGATATGGTGCTTCTTTCGTCTCAGCTTTATGTATTGTGTTCTATTTATTTAACTGTTATAAGTTCTGAAATGGCTATATCAATGAAAATGCATATTTATCAAATTTTGTTTTATTGTTATACTTATATATACACACACACTTTCACTCACACAACACATAATATTAAAATTAACTTAAGAACTATAGTTGATACTACAACTTATATAAACTAACCTAGACTATAACTTGACTTCTATGCCTAATCCTAATTTTTTAAACCTCTCCACTTCGCTTTTCCTCCACCGTTTCCTTTCGTTTTTTGACAGATACGGTGGAGTATTCCTGAACACCGCTCGCCCATGTAACTGAGGCTGGTATGTGGGATAGTTGTCATCGTCCCAGTTTTCTGAAACATAAGAAAGTTTAGGTCATAACAGTGGGTTTGTATTGAGTCATATGATGTGATTTGAGATACATGTTTAGAAAATATAGCATTCAGTATACGTTTAACGTTCCGTGGAGAAAATGGCATCCAGAAAACGTTCAATACATATGGAGGTTAAATACCCTCAGCTTGCTGGACTACTTCTTGTGTTCTGTTTCCAGCATGGCTGGTCAAATCCATCGGTTGCTCGTTTTGCTGCTGCTGGCGCTGTTGGTCCCGATGCTGCTGTTGCTGGCGCTGTTGATTCCGCTGCTGTCTCCGTTGCTCATCTCGCTGGCGCTGCTGCTCTTGATGCTCCTTTTGACTCCTGCGACACCGCACTAGGTGGTTCGCCATAGATGATGGTTTCACCCAGTGCGACTGGTCCAACGGACACCGTTTCAGCCGGTCCTTCTGTTGGCCCCCAGCAACACCGGTAGTGCTAGTCCTTGCTATTCTCTTTTCAGCTGAAAAAGAATACATGTATCCGGACCCTTGTCTATTGAAGACATTTTAAATTTTTGAATTGGCATTTTTCTCTTGAATATAAGTATTTGTTTAGATATCGTAGAAAGCAAGAACTTCTTGAACAGACCGATTTTACCTGAAAACGAATATTGTTAGCAATTTGATATATGTACTATCAATATAAAAATGCAAATAAAAAGAATGTTACAACTCTATAGTTGGAGACAACATTACAGAAAAATTAGAACCTTTAGCATGCAGCCTCTTGCCATGTTGCACCGAGTTTCGATCTAACGTCTCAGACTTTAGTGCAGCAGAAACACCAGTAGTTGGTACGTCAGCACCCGCTGCAAAGAAAAGAAATCCGACATAATTATTGCACAGGACTCAGATTGATAATTTTTTTTTCAATACTTTGACATCTTTGAAGTAATTTAGTCATACCACATTAGTATTAGTAATAGTGGTGAGGAGGCGAAGCTTGGAAACTGGCATACGTTTGACTCTTTTTGAAGATTCCGTAGTACCATTTACTGGTAAATGATATAATGAACCAGGTCCATCAAAGAAAGGTGCCTATCGGTAACATTGCATCCACGTGCATGATATAGACTACACAACATCCAAGGCACGGAATTAAATATGCGAAGCGGAGATTTGAACTCGCGAACCCCGGGTTGCTAGCTCAACGCACTAACCACCGAGCTGTCGAGGCTTGCTGCAGTCGCACAATAACCTTCGGACTATGTTCAAATGCTGAATGTCCCTGAGATATCCTTATTGGTAGACTTGCATACACGGGTGAGACCTGTCTATCTTTCGGTAGGTATTGTGACCACCGGTAAAAAGTTAGCATGTAACTTAGTACTTGTTGTGTGCAGCTGCGAATGACGGAACGCCTCCGACCCACCGATTGGTCAGTCACTCCGCCCACAGGTCAGTTGAAGGCGATAGTTCCATCTCCTCTCTCCAAATTCGCTCGCACTACGTGAGTGAGGATTCAGCATAAATACAATCATACCGACTGTATCCTGTGTCTCGACAGTTGTATCTTTGAGATACACTTGTATATACCGTATATTACCACTGCGGCAACCAAAAACAACGTAAATGATGTCATAGTCATCACTGGCGTCTCTGATGCAATAATAACAGACCTGGAAGGTGAACTTATATATAGTGAAGGGCTTGACTCTTCATACTTTATGTGGTACATTTTTTGTCCTGTCCATCTCATTTTCTGTTATTTTTTATCTTCAATCTATATTTTCTAACAGGTTTTTGGTGCTCCAATCTATACACATTTTGACATACATTTTTAGCTATAGTTTGAGCGGAAATCATTCATACTAATACTCTCATTTTTTAAAATATATAAATCGATACAAAATTTAGAATGAACATATACACATACAAAAATTTTAATAAAGGACATACACTCAGTGACACTAGAAGTGTTAGACCCATGCGCTGCCACAGCTAAGTTCGAGTTGCTTGGAGTGAGGTCCCACAACCAGGCATCGATCATTTCATTTTGTAGATGCCTAGACGTATACAGGAGTGTATTCAGCTGCGGGGTCGCCCAACACATTAACTTTTTCTTATTACTTGTCAATAAAATTTCGTGAGAATATTATCGTTTCATTCTTGATGTAAGACTACCTCATTGCCAAAAAATCAAGTTGAAGAAATAATTTTTTTCTGGATGTAATACTTCTAATGACACTGAGTATATATACTGTATATATAAGCTTTTAGAAATACGTTTCAAATTTCTAGGGTTGAAAGTACATCCAAAAATAACAAAAATGTTATTATAAGTCCAAAGATGCTCCCCTACCGAGATTCAGTTTTATTTAGAAATTATATCTTCGGGGCGGATGAAGATTTTAGACGTTCAGTGAGCACATCTTAAGCAATAAGCATACATAGTTTCCAGGACCAAACTAAACCAGGGATGTAGAAACTGAGGTACCTGGACATGTAATGGAAAATATTTTCAATGCAACTCGCCTTGGTGCATGCAGTTCATGAAATACCATACAATTTTCCAATAATTTTGTCTCTTAAGGAATTTTTGTCAGATATTTGGTTTGAATATTTGAGGTAAGGTCCTTTGTCTAAAATCACAACTAGTAATTTTGGAAACAATCAATTTCAGTAAATTTTTTTATTATTTTGCTTCAGAAATTATCGGCCCTTTTACTCAAAATTGTTTAGCATTTCGGATTAAGTGAGCTAAACAAAAAGGATATCATAAATCGTTAGCAACCTCGGACACGAAGTATGAAGACGAAGTATAGAGAAGGCCTTCAACACTGTTCGTACTACGTCAGATATTTTCCAAAAAGTCGATGAGTCTGTGGCGTAGGGCTTGTGTTGAATCCAGAAGTGGTAAATTTCGACAGCTCCCCTAGGTTGGCCATTTTCAGCATTATGTTTTGTTCCCAATGTTATCACCTCATAAATTTAGTAATAACTACGTAAGTTGTATCAAATGTATTGTCTTGGTTAATAATTATTAGATTTATTTATTTTTGAAATACACCTTTTCTTTGTTTTGAATTTTCTTTATCTATATGAATATGGCGGCAACACCAGTAACGTGCACAGGAAGGGTGTAACGAATGGTAGGCTTGTACGTTACTATTGAGGCTTAGACACGAATACTATTCAATAAATATTGTAATGAGGTGCCATAGTTTTATTCACATGCCATGTAGTGTCTCTAATGTTCAAGCTCCACGGTGTTTTCAGAATAGGGGAGGCTACACCTTTTCATAAGACTAATTTTACCTCAAATATTCAAACCTAAATATATCCAAAACGAGTGATCTGACAAAAATCCCTCAAGAGACAAAATGTATGGAAAATTGAATGGTATTTTATGAAATTCACTTCTTTTCTCCGAAAAGGGCAGTGTCGCTTAAAATATTTCCTATCAGAGCTACAGGTTTCTGCGTCCCTGGTTTAGTTTTGACCGGAAAACTCTGTGTGTTTATTGCTCTTGAACTGAGCTGACCGTCTGAAATCTTAACTCGGTATCTTTACCTGCTCCGTAGCTATAATTTTTTTCAGTTTCGTAAACGAAACGACATCAACCCTTAGCTTGGTAGGGGAGCATCTTTGGATCCATATTTACAGGAACTTTTTTTAATTATTTTTGGATGGACTTTTTAACCTAGAAATATTGGCACGAGTGATATGATGATATGTCGGTATCCGCCGATAATGACAACGTACTCATCACATCTCCGCTGTGGGATAGTACCAGTGGCTTTGGCCGGGTTAATCGTCGGCCAAAACGAATGTCTCCCCACTCCACCGGTCGTCATCGCTATCATCGACGTAGATGATGCTGGTGGAGTCGCAAGGCATGTCGTTTTGCTGTAATGAAGATAACATATTTATAGTAGCAATTCAAATACATATTGCCAGGAATAACGTTTAAAAAGGAGACTGTATAGAATTGAATTTTAAAGGAAATCCACATGGAATTAGATTTGGACGGGATTTGAGAAAAAATTAATGGAGATGTACTTACTTCGACTACTGGATGAGTCGCATACATTTTTGACGAATCCGCGGCCATATTTCTTCATCTCTCATCTCACCGTCGGACGAGGAATCGATCTGTAACAACGGCAAATATATTCATAAGTCGCAGTTCAAGTACGAAACAAGATAGCATAATACTAAATAGTAGGATCAATCTCGTAGGTCCATACCGTCGTCATCATCATCATCAGCATCATCACCACCAAAATCGAGCTGTAACAATGAAAAATATATTTATAAGTTGTATTGAAGATACAAAACAATATAGCATAATGTTGGCAAGCAAGGTAGAGCAAATATACTTACATTAATGGTAGGATGAATCGTCTGGGAACAGCCATTGTAATACTTGTTTCAGTATGTTTAACTCCACTACTCACAAACATCCCTCCCCCCCAACGAAAATAGCAATACGCTCTAGCGAAGCTTCCCCTATTGTTTGGGCCATAACGGGCTGCAAAGGAGAATCCGATAGTCAGTGTCAACTGAAAAATGATATTCGTCAGAACAACCTGTTATGTCCTCTAATCCAATTTTGGTATAAACCTTTATATTATCTTATACACAACATATGAACTTATACTACCTCATGTGTAGGAACTAACTACTACTAAATAAAGTAAAATTTTATTGATATGTGTAACGACTGCCTAGTGTCTTTGGTGAACTTTGATTTTTGATATATGAGGAAGAATATGTGCTTTGAGGCTAATTTATTTCCGTTATCACAATTTTAGACATGTTTTCCATCACTCTCTTTGGTAAACAAACTTTGTACTAAACATCATCATCATCCAGTACAGTTGCTACTAGACATTTCCCAAATTGTGATTGAGTACTTGAAATGTTATTAATATCATAAGGTTTATTTACAGTAAAAGATGATAATGTCCTATATGGTATTTTGTTACTGTACTAAAATTTGACTTTATTGTTTATTTCATGCAATGCAGAGGTGGCGATGGATATTATTAATACAACATTATATTGTTGGATAAATAATGTATAAGGATGCTCACGAAATTCTATTTGCTAGGTACTTTAATAATATTATAAGTCGCCTATCGACGTTGAATGATCGGCTTTAAATGATCAACGCTGCTGTTTCGCCATTTATATATTGACCACCAAAGTACCTTACGTCACTGCAAAGGCGCAGACACACATTTTTTGGGAAGTCCACAATCATGGTACTGAAAGTACATTTAGCATAGGGCTAATCTGTAGAGATGATATGAGGAGTCTCAGAACTGGCATGCCTCTTGGGAGGTCTTACAACTGGCTTATATCTTCTACTCGCGTGGATGATGATATTGACTTTCACAGCAGCACGGAAGCGTCTGCCGACTACGACGCAACACTATCAGACGGACCACGACGCACGTATCGTCCACCCCCTGCAACTAAACTTCAATTTTTAACCCCAATAAAAATATTTTCGGAAACGATCGGGAGCCTCTGGAACGTCAAAAAGCGATGTTTGATTTTTTTCGTTGTTGGCCCTTTTTTTCACCGCCACTGGACCGATTTTCAAAAACTGCAAAGCTTTTTCGTCCTTGGCATAGTAGTAGCCTTGTGTGAAAATTTCATACAAATCCGAGTACCTTCTAAGATATAGATGGTCCAGGGATTAGCGGACAGACAGACCGACATTCAGACAGACAGACAGACATAACGACAGACAGAGCGATGGAAATGAGTGACACCGAAATTTTTCGCGTCCATAATACTTCCTCGCCAGCAGGCGTGGGAAGTAAAAGGAGAGGAGCAAAGAAAACAGAAGTGTATCAGTTTAAGAAGAAACCCCTAGGATTTTTGACTTGGTACACGTATTAAATTTGAGGTGAACTAAAAACAAATTGCCATTCAGGTTTCGTTACACTGTAATTTGGGGTTTTCTAAAAAGTCGCGCTAATTTTTGATCATGATGTGTGCCGTGGCCTTAAAGGTATATGAACTTGCTCCACTGTGTAGCCCACTGAGTCGCGCAACAGAGGATTGCTGTGCGATTCCGCTTGACTAATATGCAATAATGTTTCTATCTACTTTTCTACCTACCCGCGGTCTTGATGATATTGCAAATTATTTCTTTAGGAACAGGTTTTGTACTAAAATGTCGAACGGTTCTTCTCTTGTTCATCGATTCAAAAAATTGTGTGGATCTCAGGTGTGCTTCCTCTTCAGACAGTTTTTCAAAATTCAACGGTATGTGCTTTAGATCTTTTGGTAGTGCTGGAGAAACGTCGTCTTCTTCTTTTGGTGATTCAGAATCCGACGATTCTAAATCTGAAAAAAGCGATGCTAATATTTTGATTATGTTCAATTTTGATATGGCATTAGAATGTCAAGCTTATTACTTATAACTATATCCTCAAATTGGATTTTTTTTCAGAATTGTTCTAAGCAAAATTAGAAGTTCGACTTAACTACAACAAAATTTAATTTCGGGCAAGCTTAGACGTAGAAGAGTTTGATGAGGTATGTAGGGCACTTTTATGGTTAAATATAAAATATACGTATTCGAAGATCTTCACTTAAATATACTGTCAACCATTAAATAAACCCACCGTTTCTGCCTCAAAATAGCCATTTTAATTTTTTATAAAAATCATAAAATTTGGAACGATGTTTTTACAATTATTTTATTCATTTGTATACAGTCAGTGTCAGTCGGTAACGCGTAATGAATAGTGGTGTCTGTTGCGTGGATCAAACGAAATAAAAAATGGCACATGTTTATGCGGATCGGTTTCCCAATCGAGTGCAACCAACCCCTCGTGCCTTTGTTAATGTAGTACAACGGGCTCGTGAATCAAGTGACGGCATGCCGGTGCTCCAAGACCTCACGATCAAATACAGGTCCGCACTGAAATACTTATCGGGAGGATACTTTATAAAACCAGGTAAAAATTTACACACATATTTTGGTTTATCTTCCTTCTACAATCATTATCTGAAAATTAATGACTCAACTTCAAAGTCACCCTGTATATATATATATAACAAAAAGTAGGAAAATAATGGGCAAAATCCGCAAAAAGGAGGAAAGTGGATTCGAGCAGAAAATAGGATAGGTAACCCGAGCGATACGTATTTCTGCTGGTTGGCTTCATGGGCTGGTTATAGCCACTTGCCCATTATTTTCCTACTACCTTTCTCCGCATGATCATTTTCTCTTTGTAGATCCTTTGGGCTTGAAGTACCACAGCAAGTGGCTATAACCGGCCGCGTGGTTGTTGTTAGATGTCTCCTTGAAAATTCGAGGTCTTCTAGCCGTTTGGTACTACAATGTGTAGGTTGGCTCTTGTTGTGTACTTCGTGTGTCGTTTTTTCCTCTCCATCTTCGTTTCCTCAGGTTACACCCGTATCCGGATGTGTGGGCATGTGTATCTACTTTGGTAGTTTCATATGTGCATTCATTTCGGGCCTGATGAAGCCAACCAGCAGAAATACGTATAGCTCGGGTTACCTATTCTATTTTCTGCTCGGATCCACTTTCCTCCTTTTTGCGGATTTTGCCCATTATTTTCCTACTTTCTCCGCATGATCATTTTCTCTCTCTATATATATACTCGTATATATATATAATCATAATTAAATATTTTTGTTCTCAAGGCCAGTTTTTTAAATACAGATTACATAACTTTGTTTTCTATAATTTTTTTAAAAATTGACTGTTGAATAAAGATTTGTTTCCAAAGAAAGCTTAGAAGACTAGAGATGTGGAGTAAAGACGAAACAGCTTGTGATAATTGAAAGGAAATTCTATAATACTTAACCACTAATTCCATTTATATATAAAAAAACGTATAAAACATGCAATGTAAAATTACAATATAATATTATCTCACCTACTCAATAATTATTTAGTTGAGTAGTTTGTCGCATTTGTTTATTCCTGGAATTGAAAAGTTAAAACATTTTTAAACTGAGGAAGCAACTTATTGATAACTGTTTCGGTTAGATCAAAGACAATGTTGCCGAACCTACTGTTATGAATAAAGCTAGAAAAAATTAATTCTATGTAGTTTATGTCCCATACCAGTCTCTCATAAGCGTACACTTGGGCAGTCGGGCTCATGAGGGCCGTAGATTTGGGTTGCCTACAATTATGTACGCACATCCCTTATTTCGCTCTTCCTATATTGGTTTTTGTGAGCAACAGGTACAGACTGGTAGATCACCGTCATTATCGCATTACCAGACAGCAATAAGGAAACCAAAGCTTCTCTGTATCTAATTGAATATTGAATTAAAATAACGTCAGGTGAATAAGGCTTCAAGTTCAGGAAAAATATTCAGAATCTTATAAACAAGAATGGCAAATGATGGTTGCAAAGGAGTTTGAAGAGCGACCAGTATGTTCATTGGACAAGTTGTAATAAATATTTTTTTTTCAGAAACACATGCTCTCAAAGAACATATGTATGTGCGCGCATTGCAAAATATGCATTTTTCATAGAGCGCTCTATGTGACGCAGGGTCCCTTGATCCATTGCTGATCTTGTAACGGACCTAATTTGTTCCTCCTATCGATTTTTCCCTCCAGCCTACAGAGTTTTTGACGACGCTGTCTATCGATTTCGTCTTTTTCGGTTCGGCAACACTGGTCAAAGATTAAACTAGATCAGCTATCTTAAATGTATGTATCTTTAAATGTTTGCAATTTTTTTACAACTATTCAACTGTTCTTGTATTATTTATCAAGTCATTACCTTTCATGTTTTCAATTGAACTCGCTAATGAAACAGAAGCTTGCCTTTTGTTACTATTATTTTTGAGGGGCAAGCGTGGCCACTGACTAAAATACAAGAATGTTTAATCGCGTATAAAAGCAATTGCATGGCCAAACATGTTGGCTTTTAGGATTCTACTTCCAGCTGATTTCTTTGAGGTCTTCTGCTAGCATGCACTCCGGAGCGGTGTTGCTCATGCCATATATTATTGCAGTACTTACTTTCCTCTTGAATCATGTCATCAGTTTTCTTTCCCATCCCCAACCTTTTCTTTTCTTTCATCCCCATCCAGGTAGAAAATCCCACCCTCATCACCACGTATACCACCAACCCCACAAGAAAGTAAGGCCAATACATTTGGAATAACATGTCTGTCCCTATAACCAATCAATTGCAAGGTTCACGAACGAACAACGAATAAATAGTGTCTGGTCTATGGCAGTGGCCTGTGGCTGCGATACGGCGATACAAACACACAGCTGGAAATTACTTTGACCCAATTCAGAAAGGATATGGCGCAAGAGCAGAGTATATGGAATTATTGATAGTAGATTCACTGAGCGGTGTAATCAGGCTTTTCTTAAATCCGTTTTCCTGTTCACGGGGCAGGATCAAGGAATCTATTTTCGGCACTTGGAACATTGACCATTGAACGCTGAACATTGACGTTTAGTACATCCTGTGTTAGTTATCGGTGAGCGGAGATCTATTGTGGGATTCCTACCGTTATAAATAAATCTTTGAATATATGCAACAACTGCTTGAAGCTTGCATAATGATAAAAATTTGAATAAAAGCATTTCCAATTTATTTGGATCTGTGTTTAACATAAGAGCAGTTTTTCCTTGTTCTTTGTCCACACAGTGTGGTATGTAAATTGGAGAATTTGTGGTGAGCCAAAGAGTATATGGATGCGACAAGAAGAAAGCATGGCCTGCCCTCCATTGCCCATAGTGTTTAAAATCTAAGGGCTGTAAACCACGAGAGGCGCAATCTGCGATATTATTTTCCGAAGATATATGATACAACTGAACATCAGGTACCATTACCTGAATCATTGGTATCCTATAGGCTACACATGGTTTCCATCTGTGTGGTGAGGAATTAAGCCAATATTACACGATTGTAGAATCTGTTAATGCAATGATATGTTTGAAGAAAATGTTATTGCTATATGTATCAATAACAAAGTGCAATAGTTTAGACAACAAAACTGCTCCTAGTAGTTCACATTGCGGTATTGAAACTTGCATTAAAGGTTTCCCTAAGATTTCGCGCATGAGATAGAAGTCTGTATAGTTGAATGCGGAACTATTCTGATGAAAACTAAGGCTGAATAAATGTTTGAGCTGGCATCTAAAAAATCAACTAAGCTATATAGTTAGAGGTAATCATCAAAATCTAATTTTGCCAACCACAAATTGCGAATAAGTAAACTTTTTCTTGTGCACAGTATGTTTTGCGGATTTACAGAGTAAAAAATATATCAGCCGACGAATTACATTTTAATCCTAACATCTTCATACTAGAGTTTGCTTAAGTGTTAAAAGAAAAAGCGTTATTTGATGTTCGGCAGTCAAGCGGTCACTTACTTAAACATGCTTTGATGAAGCTAGCCCATTTATACAGCTTGAAACATCTTTTAGACAGACAATCTATTAAGCCTTGTTGTAGATCTGAAGCTTCATCTTAAGTAGCACATAGTCTAGATATATTATATACGGAGATAAAGCCTTACAAGTCAATGGATGATTGTTCTCTTCATGTTTTGCTAAGTGCTGGATAGTCTTTAAAGGTAAATAAGGCGAGCAACTGATGCCAAAACTGACAAACTCTATAAGATTTTTTGGAAGCGTCTTTGCGCTGGGTTAACTATATTTTGCAAATACATTGACTTAAATGTGAGCAGTTAAAGCGATTTGTGCCAATCCAAAAATTCAGAACAATTCGACTGATATCCTTCTGGAGTTTAGGAAATAACATAAGTATGTCATTTAACGATAACTGATTGGAGTCCTTAGAACTAGCATCGAAAGCAACTCTTAATTTTGTGATTACGGTTTTAAACCGTAGTGATGCGGTATTAAATATTCATAAAGTGAAGAAGAAAAAACCTTGTTAGATAAAGTCATAGTTATTGTCAATCATGTCTTGCAGAGATGTCGTGTAAAGCTCGTACAATGTTTTATCAGCTAAAAGGCGTTTTTCTAAGGAGAAAAATATTCGTTACGTTTTTTGTTTGCTGTCATGGAAGGTCACCACAAAACTGTCATGGTACAGCATATCTCCGTGATGCTTCCTGAGAATTTGTTTTTTCAAAAAATTGGTTCACATTTTTGTCCGTCAGGAGACAAATATGGAGGATGAGGAACTGATTGTGTTTCCCAGAAACGTTTTAAAGAATCATTAAGCGAGTTCATATTATATACAAAAATATCTACACATGATATATCATGCCCTTGTTCAATCATTACTATCTTACGGAATCTTAGCATGGGGGGGAATCATAAATAATTATTATAAAAAGATTGAAATTACGCAGAAGTGGATTTTGTAAGTTATGTTGAACAAAAAGAAATGTTATCCCTCAGAAAATCTTTACAATGAATCTCAGCTTTTCGACTGCCGGCAAACTTATTTTTATCATACAATAGTATATTTAACAAAAAATCCAAAATTGTTACTTTCTATCAGCCACAACCATCAAACGCGATTCAACCTCTGCACTAATTCCTAGAGATAATAAAACTATCAGCCAAAGATCATTCTATTTTCTATGCTCAAAATTTTATAATGTTATTCCTGCAAACCTTAAACATATAAAATGTATAAAACGTTTAAAATTTGAATTAAAATTATGGATCCTAAATCAACCAAGGCTACGAATCCATAAATTTGTTGATACTTTAAACCCATACGTTATTTTTTTATATCGAGCAGCCGCGCAGGCAGAAGCCTAAATGCCGGAACACCGCGGCTGCTATGATGATTCCAAAGAAATTTTGTTAATACGATTTTTGAACTGCCTAAGGTTAGTAAAACTGGGAACAGCTTCCTCTTGTAGATTATTCCACAATCTCGACACCCTCGGGACAAAGGAGCGGTTGTATCGGCCAGTTCTGGATGTACTAAGTTTGACACGGCTAGGAAGGGACGCCATAGTCAGACGGGTCTGTCTGGCAGGCACATCGCGCGGCGGCATCATGGAAGAGAGCTCTGAGGAGCCAAGCCCGTTGGTGTAGCGATAGAAAAGAGCCAGATCGCCGACGGCCCGCCGGTGCGAAAGAGTCCCGAGACTGTCTGTTAGAGAAGAGTCATTGATCAGTCGGATCTCCCTTCTCTGGACAGCATCGAGCATGGATAATGTAGTCGGGGCGGCAGCACCCCAAACGTGTGAGCAATACTAGAGGCTAGGCCTTGTATAGAGTGAGAAGGTCATGCGGAGAAAAGTACTTCTTAGCCCTGAACAAATAGCCTAGCTTTTTCCCAGCAGCTGCAGCTATTGACGAGATGCGTTCGTGCCAGATCAGGTTCTCTGTGATCTGGACTCCGACCAGCCGAAATGAATGGCAGAACTCGACCGTTCATCGAAACTGGATGAGCGCTAAGAAGCTTTTTGTTCGTCAAAGTACAGTACTGTGTTTTGGAAGCATTGAACTGTACAAGATTGTTGCGTCCCCAAGAGGTGATAGCCTCCAGGTCTCTTGTCAGAGAGGAAGTCTTTTTTCTAGCTCAGCGGCAGATATCGGTTTGTCACTCTGAATTCCTGCATGTAGAGTGCTGTCATCAGCGAAGCTGTAAATTGGGTTGATCGTGCAGGAAATGAGGTCGTTGATGTGTAAGAGAAACAGTGTTGGAGCCAAGACTGATCCCTGGGGAACACCCGCGTTCACGTTGTGGGATGAAGAGGAGAACACGTCAATTACGACGGTTATCTTGCGGCCAGAGATAAAGTCAGCCACCCATCTGCAAAGCTTTTCTGGGAGGCCATAGGATGGAAGTTTGCTTAAGAGGGCAGCGTACCACAGCTGATCGAACGCTTTCGTGATGTCAAGAGTAACGACATGAGCCTCACCATAAGATTGGATGAGTTTACTCCACAATTGCGTGACGTAAGCTAGGAGGTCCCCTGTGGATCGTTGGTACCGGAAACCATACTGCCTGTCGCTAATCAAGCTGTGAAGTTCGAGGTAGTCCAGAAGCTCGCGATTTATGCACCTCTCCATCACCTTACTTATAGCGGAAAGCAGAGCTATAGTCCTGTAGTTGTAAGGGTTGGTCTTAGATCCCTTTTTTATCATAAAATGATGCAAATTTATACATCTGACTAGTATACTTAAAGCAAATTTGTTGTATTAATATAACTCAACTTCGGTTAAAACCCAAGCACAAGTGTACACTTTTTTGGGTATATTATGTCTATTGGACATTGCCGTTAGGGTAGGTGGGGGTAAAAGTCCGCATGGGGTAAAAATCCTCAATAGTGTAGTTAGAAACTCTCTTATAGTTTTCTACCCAGCGATGCATGTCTCGGTCGGTATCTGGCAGAAGTGGCAACAGCGTGAACACGTGATCTGTACATCGTTATACGTGATAATTATGAGGTAAGTTGTGAATTTCTCTGCTTTAATCTAATATTTTTCAATATAGAGGTGAGGATTATGTGTCTTCAAGGCATCTGCTGGAGATTTTTTCAGTAGCTTTAAAAGACTAGTATCATCGACAACACGTTTCCAAAAACTAAACTTAATTTGAGGTTATGTTTTTCACACCAACCTTGATAAATCTGAAGTGTCGTTATGGGGCAAAAGTCCGCATGCCTAATGGGGCAACGATCCGCTAAGATCATTTTCCCGTTCCATGCGGATGTTTGCCCCGTTTTTGTTGATGAAAAAATCAACCGTTTGACCGAAAAGTGTAAACTGTAAATCGCTTTTTTCAGGACCTATATAAGAAAAAAAGAAAACCTAAAGCCACTCACCGAGTATGTGCTGATACAGGCTAAAGAGTTGAGAGAAAAGGGGCTATCATTTAGGGAAATAGGAAGAGCCCTTGGCTACGATGAATCAACTATTCGAAAGAGGATAAAAGCTGGCAGTGGCGTAAATTCATTAGGGCGGTTTCGAAAAGTATTTACTGCAGTGCAAGAACAACAGATGGTGAACCATTGTAAGGCATTGGACTTACGTTTCTACGGACTTACCTTGAAGTCGCTCCGCTTTCTGGCATATCAGTTCGCACACAGAAATGGTATCCCTCACCCATTTAATAATGAAACTAGACTAGCAGGTAGAGATTGGACGAGACAATTCATGAAAAGGAATCGACTTTCATTGCGTACCCCTCGAAAAACTAGCGTAGCTAGAACAATGGGATTCAACCAGCAGCAATTGTCTCAGTATTTCGAAAATTTGAAATATGTCCTTGAGAAGTACAAATTTCCAGAATTTACAACATGGATGAAAGTGGATTTCAAACCGTCCCAAGTAAATTACC